ATTTTCTTTATGCCAAGTGTCATAATAGTAGGCTGAAGTCAGTTTCACCTTTACATAGTAAATATGTGCTGCAACAGAATTTAGCACTGGAATAAACTAAAGAGTGGAAATGTAGAAACAGCGAGTCTGACTCTTTCTGCAAAAAACAAAATAAGTACATTTCCTAAAATCGTATTTGATCTTCATACAATTGTTGAGTTCTAAATGTCATAGGTCTTAAGTTATTTCAACCTTTTTGAGGAATCATGTTCTTTTCTACATCCTAAAGGCCCATTAGTCTCAGCTGCAACAGAGAAGAGGTCAGTTAGTTGTGAATCACACAAGTAGAAAATTCAAAGAGCAAAGAGGAAACAAGATGAAGTGATGAAAAACGGACTCGTTTATTTTTTACTTATTTCTGTGTCTGTTATTTTGGTGTCTACACAGCATATATATTCCACCCTATCAGTTTTTTCATACAATGAAGTGCACCATACATGTCAATATCTTTCTTCATGCAGGGGTTTTTACCAAAGACTTTTTCCCCCTCCCGAGCATTACCAACCTCCAAGAGTCAATGCAGAAAATAAGTACAGTAGTACTCCACTTTAAGAGCCTTCTGAGCCTCAAATAATTCATCCAACAATACATCTAAGTGCTGAAAGAAGGACTGGGAGAAATGAGTTGGAGGAGTCATTATTATTAACCCTGCTAGAAATAAGAACCACAGCCAGTTTATGCAGGATGCAGATGTGCACATTTTTCTACATCAGTTTGGAGGTAAAAGCTTTGGGTTGTCTTTGCATCTGGTATGAACGCAATCACTCTATGTATAAAAACTATCTTTGAAGGTTGAAGGAAAGTGCCGCTCAGGGAGAAATGTACCGGTAAGTGGCAGAGGAAGTGTGTGTGTGTGTGTGTGTGTGTGTGTGTGTGTGTGTGTGTGTGTGTGTGTGTGTGTGTGTGTGTGTGTTACATACTTTCTTTTTTGAAACAGGTAACTGACAAGGTAGGTAAAATATAAGTAATAAGTATAAGTAAAGTGAAAAACCACAGAATTTTAAGCATGGATCAAATTTCTTCTAACATAAGTATTCCTTCACCTTGGAGTGTAAAGTCAAACAGCGAACTATAAAGTATATATTTATTAAAAAAAAGGGGGACTCTTGCAGTTTCTTTCTTTGCTGCTGATGCACTTTCTGCTAAGGGTGATAATAATATGAAGCAAACTAGAGGTATTAAAAATGATATTGCTGAACTTGGAAGGTATTCATGTTTTCAAACACTCACTGTTCAACTCAAATATTATTTGATGTTATACAAACATGCAGTCATATCTTAATTGCCTAAAAAGCGTGCCAATGTACTTTTGCATGTTGTAAAGACTCCTTGTGTATAATGTGGTTTCCACTCATATCTATATTTACTCCTTCTTCCCTGCACAGTCTTCTCTAAGTACACTCCTACCCTCCCTTTCTCACAACATCAAAGACTATCGATGCCCTAAGCACCTCTTCATCCTCCCGACCCTTGAGGAATGGCTTTGCCCTGAGCACTCACTCACAATTCTTTGTTTCCTACCCAGAAGCACCTGCCAATGTGCTGCAGCTTTTTTGACAGTCTCAGCTGTAATGTTCTCAAAAGAACAGTTGCACTGTGAGCACCCACAAACCGCCTTTCCTCCTATCTCAAGAGAAGCAGGTCATTCTGGAAGCAATTCCCTGCCATCCCTTCTTGGAAATGTAGCCGTAGCCTGACATCCCATCTGGCCCCCCTGAATGACTCATGCCATTCACCTGCTGGCTGCCTAAAGGGAAATGCTAGCTCCTTCACCCCACAGTAACCTTCAAGGCAACTTACAGGTAACTACATCCTGGGTGAAGGTAGCCAGTAGAAGGTTGCAGGCTTCTGTGAAAATTAAAGGGTATGAGAGGGTAATTCAGGCATGTTATACAGTAGCTTCACTTACTCATCAAACAGTTATTTCAGCATCATCATCTTCCTCATGTTGATTCCAGATATCTCATGGGATTCCCATTTGGAAAAAATGTTTTTCTTTCCTAGGATAATCATTTTTTAACCTTAATTTATATTGAGATTTCCTATGGTTTAGGAAAAAATGTTTTCCAATGACGCGTAATGCTCGTGTGAGGTGACTTTAGCTGATTATGAAACAACAGATTGAACATTTCCATAAAACCATTTGAATAGCTGAAAATGCTGCCAGTGGGAAGGTGTCAAACACAAGCCCTATTGAGACTGCCAGTTCAAGGTGTGATATTTACGCCCCTGTGATGTCTCACCTTCAATATGAATGTCATGGAGGAGAGCTGGGGAGGGAATAAGTGATCCCTGCTCTCTACCACCCTCAGAGGTAGACACAGAGGTGTTACAGGGGCAAGATGGGATCGGCGGAACAAGCAAGGGAGAACAGTGCTGTGTGTGTGCGCAGGTGTGAGAGTGTGTGTTTGTGGCCCTCCTGCTGTTTCTCTTCATGTCTTGTTTCGTCATTTTAAGGCTCTGAGCCTCTTTTTTTTTCCAAGTGTCAAGTATTTCAGCCACAATGTATTAGAAGCTTACTGCAGCTGCGTCTGAATGCACGCGGTCTTTAGAAATACGTCCTCCCTGCATGAATGGCTTTACTGACAGAGCCATTATGCATTTATGCTGCATGAAAAGCTATAGCCATTCACAAACTGTTAGCATCATTTCAGAGGGCTGATATAGGCCACAGTATACAGGGCTAATAGGTCAAGCGTGCTCAGTGCCTCTTATCATCAAATGCCGGCCCCTGGGACGCATACACACTACACGCAGCACACATGATGACAGCGAGCTATACAGAATACAGTCAAGGATAATTACCATGATCATATTTCAGGGGTAACATATGTTCTATGGAGCAACCATCCAGCCACAAGGGATCCACACAGCATAAACATGGAAACACCTGGGATCACTAAAGCAAATAGCAACAGACACCATCACTCTGTTTCCGCTTAGTGAAAGTTCACTTGGGAGATTCAATCATTCAATTTAACGACTCATAATTATAGTGAGGAATGAGAAACATGAGCACCTTGCATGTTGGCTGTGGTGCATGATCTTGAACATGACACTGAAGACTTGTAAAATGTCTTCACAAAATAAAAATATTGGAAGATTCTGGCAGCGTGTCACGTATACTAACAGAGTACTCCACAAGATTCTCCATGCCATCTTGTTAATCCAATAAACACCAGAATAATGGATGGCGCACACACATTGCAGTGTTTTGAATAATCCATCAGGTCGTGGACTGCATTTACATACATTATGAAAAGATCCTTAGAGCCATTATTTTGTATAATAAGTATTGAATACTGATGGTATTTTAATGGTAAAAATGACGATATATTAACCAGTATTGTTATCATGAAGTCAGTCATACAGTGGAGCTCCTGAAGTGTCAGGTTTCACAATACACCACATTATATTCCTATTTTCTGTCATGACTTTAATTACTTGAATTTGAGTTTTACTAAAAGTCTGCTGGCTGTGATTCTGGGTTAGTGTTTAGAGCACTAAAAGTATTCAATATTTGTGTATCTAATCAGAATTCTCACGAGGAGGGGGAAATTAAATTATAATTTTATGTCTTATGATAATTTTATTGCTAGTTTAAATTCAGTCTGATTTCAGTATCGCTTCAACACTGCAGGCAATTTTTCAAACGTACGTTGCAAATATGGTGAGAAGCAATAGGCACCGCATCCTCTTTCATTAGACTCAATGTTCCTCAGCGTTTTAATTTTCTTCCGTACCATTCGTTTTTAGTCTTTATTCTTCATGGAGCCTTACAAGTCTTTTTGAATAGATCTGCTTCATTCTGCTGTTAGATAGGCAGAGTGGACCTGGACCCGGTATTACCACCAGGTGACCTAGAAGGGGTGCTGAAGACCGGGGAAAACAATCTTCTATGACCATCAGCCTATAGGGTTACAGGTTACCTCTGATATCACTCAGGTGTCACTGATCAAAAGATCCCTACATCAGGGGGAGGTGGATAATTTCAACACTGTCATAAATATTCAATACGCACATGAAGGCATCAGAGAGGGCTGTTTTTTGTATGCTTGCTGTACACCAGCTTGGGATGAAGAAGAAGAAAAATCTACTTAAATGCAGTATGAGTACCAAGCAAAAGGTACAGCAATATCTGAAATAGATGTCCATATAAATATTTGAATAACCTAAAGAGGATATTATGGCATAGCTTAGGTAGGTATGTAAGGGAATATCAAGGGATCTTAGGGTACCAAATGTGGTGCTTAATGCAATTCTCCACTTGTCTTCAATGATTTATTTATACCCCTCCATAATTAAAACTAGGGTCATGATACAACCACACTGTCCTAAACTTCAGAAATGAAGTGTTTTCTGTATTTTACAATAACCAAAGAATAATGACTAATAAATATGAGCTTTTCTATTTCCCATATGTTTATTATCATGTGTCTTGTGCTTTTTATGTCGTTCATTACCGGTCCATCTTTGCAGATGCCAAAGCACAACCCACGTGGCCAAAAGCCTCACCATGTTGCCCCAGAGACCTTCTCCTTGATAAGGCTACGGCTGATTGGCTGACAGAATGGGAGAGTGACATGAGCGGGTGTGGGTGTAGGGGGGCCAGTGTTGCATGGGGGTGGGGGGTGTGGGCTAAACTGTCCAGAGAGATTTCGATGCATACTAAACAGGTCTCACACTAGCTGGCTGAGAAGAATTTTCATTAGACCCTTCAAACAGGACTCCTCCTCTCTCTCTCCCTCCCCCCACCCATTTCTCTAGGTGTTTTACACGGTTTGTGCATGTTTTGCATTACATAAAACAGGTGTAACAGGTGTATAATGATCGATATCCAGTCCAACAATGAATACATTAAAAACCTGCCAAGCAGGACACATTCTTTAAGATGACATCTTCCATACAATTCACACCAGTGCACACACATGTTCAAATACACGGAAAAGAACAGGACTCACCTTCTGTTGGTGAGGTTTTCAGTCGTTTGCACAGTCCCTCTACACCCCCGTAGTCCTCCTGGAGCTTGACCACCGCCTCTGTGCCACGCAGCTCCATGAGCGAGCGCAGATCCATGACCGAGCAGCCGAAGCCTGCCGCATGGTTCTCCTCGTTTCTTTGGTTCTTGGCATAAAAATCGCTGTTGGACATGTCCCCCATGATGTCAGCTTGTCAAGTCAGATAGATAAGTGTTTCTTATTGCTTATAGATCAATCAAAAACCTTGCACAACTGAGGGATGAGCTCAGGCTCATCTGAAAAAATCCAAAATAGGTATCAAGCAGGCAACCAACCAAAAAAGGGGGAAAGAATGCCACTTGTAGGTTAAGTAGGCAGACAGAGCGATTAAAAAGGGAGGGGGGGGGAATCCGGGGGGGGTTAATCGATGAGCAGTTTTGCTGGTTCAGGAATGACTGTCAGATATCAGTAGACCAAAACCATCAAAGAGGAGAAACAGAAGAAAAGGAGAAAGAGCAGCAGCAAACGAGGAGAGGAGGGGATGATGAAACACAAGTGGGGAGCATCCAGGTGAGCGTTGGAAAGCCCCAGTGGTCAGGTCCTGAGAAGGGAAATGATGGTGGTGTCAAGTCCTGTAGGTCTCAGGCTCACCACGGCTGCAGTCCAAAACCACTCCATGTGTTGCTTCCCATTGCTGCTATTCTGCTGTTGCCTCCGCTGCCTTTCCGTCTCTACATGGTGGTCTTCCCCATCACTGCTAGAGAAAGAGAGGGAGGGAAAGGGGACAGAAGGTGAGGGAGGAGGAGGGAGAGAAACAGAGAGAGAGAGAGAGAGAGAGAACACGAGAATTAGAACGGCGTTCTCAGAGCAGGAGAGAATGCAGCGGTAAATGGTGCACAGCTAAAGGACAATCTCTCCTGCCTGCTGCAGTAACCGTAGCTCTGCTGTCTCTATCTACTGCTACTGCTACTGCTGCTAACCTCATTCTGAGGACACACCGACTGACAGAGAGAGGGAGAGATGATACGAAAGAGAGGGAGGGCGGAGAGAAGAGGATGCTCCTTTCTGGTGCAGAGCAGAGAGGAGTTGTGCGGGCGGGAGGCTGGGGCTGCTCTGACGACAGAGCGGAGAGGCAGCACGTAACACTGCGCTGTCACAGGGAGGATGGGCTGAGCTGTGGAGCTGTTGCTGCTCTCTCACCGCTACTGCTTGCTCTCATTCTACAGTGAGTGACCTCTCTTTTGCAGTCTCTCAATCTCAGCGGTCCATTCTTCTCTCTGGTGTCTTGTAAAGCCTGGCACTAATTATTTCACTTCATGTCTGCTGCCCTCTAATCTTAGAACCACAGTCAGTTTGCAGAAGCGACTTCTGAAGAGGTAAGATGTTACACTCCAATGCACTGTTGTTCAAGACATTACAGGAGCTAATATGGCTTCAAGTGTGTATAGGGCTCAAGCCTTGTTACAATGTCCCTTCCAGTGCCCACATAAACCAGTCTGTTTTTGATTACTGGCGTGCTGTGGTGATTGAGTACTATAACCTCTGAATCCACTGTTCACTTATAGCTATGTGACAGCACACCTTTTTTTTCCCCAAGATTTTTTTATTGGCCTTTTTGTGCCTTAATTGAAGAGACAGGACAGTGGACCTAGTATTTTGCTGTTGGAGTAGTTTCTATCTTCTCCTGGTAAACAGTAAAAATGTCATTATTTGGCCAGGTGAAATGGACACAAATACATATTTATGTGTCGCAGTAACATTCTTAGAAACTAGCTGACACCTTCAAAATGAAACAGTAAGAAGTTTAACTCAAAAACAGACGGTAGAACATTTCAAGACACAATTTTTCTTTCCATTAGTAGCCTGTTAGCTACAAAAGGAATACGTGGAGATTTCTGGTTAAAAACGTAACAACATGAAGATAGTAAGGATTCAATTGGTACTCGTTGCATAGGCTGATTAACCAGAATTACACAATCAGCAACATATTCATTGGCAAACATCAAGTGTGATGATTAGGGATGTGAAGTGAAAATAAAACATCATCGACGTATTTCTCATCGAGTTGAAAACTGTCTGTGAGTGCATACTGTAGATGCAGAAGCAGCAGCCAATATGATGGAGTCTGATGTTGAACTTAGCAACAGTCTATCTTCTATGTAAAGAATCATATAAGATGCCCTCACCACTTTTAATTTATGTGTACCGCAGCTAGGGGAGAAAAAGATCACAGCTGACAACAGGATATGATACAGAGTCCTCTGATTGTGCCAAAAACTGAAGATATAGTTTCTCTCTCCGTTTGTTTATTATTATTAGTATATTTTCCCACTCATATACTTTGTCATTGAAGTTTTCTTAGAAATAGTGTAAAATCTCTTCTCGTCTTGTTCTTGTGTATCATCACACAGCTAGTGATGATACAGCACAGATGGGACTTGTAGCAGACACAATGGTGTGCTCAGGAACAGCACTGACCTTGTCACAGCACGGCGGTGAGAGACCCTGCCAACACGTGAATACACATCTGTATCTCCACAGGAACCAGGCCTGGCTGCTAATGAGCTCAAGCCATTACTGAAGTGACAAAGTTAGACAGCGTTGGCAATGTCACCTGAGCAGGTGCGACCTAACAAACCTGCTAAACATGTCTGTAGTGCAGATTAAGTCAGTGATGAAAGCCATATAGTGCATTTACTCAAGTAATGTAATCCAGTACAATTTGAAGGTACTTCTACTCTTCAATTATGTTAAGACATAGAGATGTTACTATTTTTGGCAAATCTGAAATTCCAAACCTACAAAGCTACTGTTGGGGTGGTCTACAAGATTTGTATTTGGAAAAAAAAAAAAACATAATCAAAATTAAAGTTAATAGTATGCTACTACAAATTAAGCTACCAAGCATCCCAAGGAAGTAAGGTGAACAGCAAAAAGCTGTTTGTGAACAGCCACTTAATAATAGTAATAATATTAGCATGGATTTGCATAGTGCAGTTAAAGGGACCCAGGGATGCTTTACATGAGGGCAGAGCAGCTCCAAAGCACAATTAATATATTTACTGACCGAATATTGATAATCGAAAAAAAGCCCCCAACCCCAAATTTTGAATGCTGGTCTTTTTCTTGTAACAGTACACAGTAGTATTTTTGCTCTCTGTTATTGCTCCATTCTTCTACCACTGGATCAAGTGGCTTTTCCAACTAAGACCAATGATCGGTTTAACACCTACACAACAGATTAATATGATAATGATTCATTACATAAAAAATTACTTTAAATACTCAAGACTAATTGGGTTTTGGCTAGTTTTTTTTTTTTTTACATTAATTAAACATACAAATAAAAAATGAAGCACAGGCCGGGACTGCATCTTTCTCTATTTTTTCTCCAACCTTTTATGCCGTCCCCCTTTCCTGCCGAAAAAGGTCCAATCAATGTTGGCGGTTCTCACTGCATGCCAAGGCAGACATCTGTGCCTGCCAGATCCTCCAAAAAAATGCTAAATGAAAGCAAACAAATGTTCTCCCAGGAAATGAGATGTGTATGTGTGTGTCTGGCAGAATGGTTTGGCAAGTGGCTTGCTTAGGAGTGAAACTACGGTACATCAGAGGGATCCTGACACCTTTGTCAGTTTTCCTGGTAAACCTTTACTTTACCACTGAGGAAGAGTTTTTTTCTCTTTAGCAGCTAATTGGTTAAAAACTAAATAGATTAGCAAAATATAAACCAGCTGGTTTCTGGGGGTCCTATAGATACCATACAGATTGTATCAAAACAGCACCAGCAGGGAACACATGTTAATTCATATAATAATACATCCTATTAATATAACCAATATTAATCAAGACAGATCATCAAAAAGAATGTATAGGACAGAATTTCTAAGTATGAAACAGGAGCACACTAGTTAAACTAAACCGCCCCACAATGCATTGCTGCTCTCAGACTATCCAATCCCAGAGCTGGCAGCTTTAAATAACAGCAACTTTTCTGAAATACATTTTACATTTAAAATGACTATGAAGCTTTATTGGTAATGAAAGTTGATATATATTTTTCAATTTTATTTACTGATGGACAGTCACACTAGCTTGCTGCTAGCTTATCCAAAGTAGCTCGGACTGGAAGTATGTTGCGTGACCTGTAGTGAAGGATGTTGCTAACGGCATACTGATCATCTGATCTAATGGAACACATTGTAAAACACAGAATTTAGAAAAATTCAAATTCAGTTTCAGCTCAGTACTCAGTGATACAAAACTATGGAACCAAGAGGGGGGATCAGCAGATTAAGCAAGAGAGAGGCTAGGATAAAGGTAAGGTGCACTGTTGTAGAGCTGTGTAACTTTAAAGCCAATGTTATTCTTTGTATACAATGTAAACTCACACACAGTCACACATAAACTGAGTGTTCATGAAACTGACTTTTTATTCCTAAAAACAAGGGAGGGCAGCTGTAATTAGAGCTATTGTTGGTATTTAGTATAAGGTCAAATCCAGAGGAAGTCAGAGTGACAGAATGGTTCTTCCTTAATGTTGAATCATTAAAGCACTCTTTAAAGTGGTTGGGATATGAAGCTTTTAATGAAAAACAATCACTCCCATCCTGTCTTTGTACTTGTCTGTCTGTCTGTCTGTATGCTGTCCCATGTCTTTTCTCTTTCAGCTTCACCTGTTTAACTATAGCTGACTAAAACTTCCCTGCTGTGCGGTTCCTTTGTCTACATCCCTGCCTACATGTCAGTCCGTCTCCATTGTTGCCATCCTCCCCGTGGCTTGACAGTGAGTAATGAGTATATCATCAAGCACTCAAAGAGAAAGTGAAGAATTTGCAATAATTAACAGCATTTTATTATAAGAGTGAGAACACTAAATTGGACTTTATGAACTTTAACCGCATATGGGATCCAACTGTCCAACTGAAAACATGAAGCTCTCAGCCAGATGTTTAGACCATCTGACCAGCATACTGTACACTTTGTCCTATGAACAGCTGATGAAACAAAAAGGGATCTACCGTAGCTTTAATACAGAAAATGGTTATTAAAAGCCAATGCAGCAACTGTTTCTTTACTGCAATGTTTTCTCATACAAGTACCTATATGAATTAAAGAATGGAAAAACACAGATAACTGATCGAATGAAAGTTGATGCTGAATTTTTGAGCTAGGATGAAATTGACCTTATTGCATCATTTCGGGACTCATTTTGCTCCAGTCGAACAATGCATATGACTATACAAAGATACTCTGAATGTGATTTCTTAAACTATTATTTTTTGGAAGAATATGCCAAATGGTTAGACATTGTCAATCACTTCTAGGACAGAGCTTTTTTTGTCCCCTGCAGAATTGGTTGATGATCATCTGTAATTCTCTGTCACATGTCCTGCAGACAGTGCTGAGAGTATTGGGTGAACTCTGTGTGACAAACAACTTGACGTCCCCCTTTTCTGTAGTTCTGGCTGGAGTCTTTACATTCACCAATCTGGGGCACATGTAGTTTAGTGGTTTAGGACTACAGGTAGTCGTATTACCTTCAACTTTTTGTTTCAAACTTACTAACTGTTTTTCATTAAAATGGCAAGTATTAAGTTTCACATCAAACATAAAAAAAATCAAGCAAAAAAAATGAAAGGCAAATAAATACTCATCTTTATTTTTTATGATTCAAAACTAAAGATTTTTTATTTTTTTATAGTGATCAAATTTTAGGTGTCAAGGTTCATTTTGAGGCTGTAGTTAATATTGTTGAGAAAAGTAAAATCCCAGAGTGCAGTTTTTGTAAGTGTGTCTTGATGAAATCATCACACTCTCTCTTTCTATATTCGCCTTCAAGTCGAGACTTCCCACACAACGCGCATTATAATACTGTGTTTCTTTTTAAGCATTAATTTTACCCTCGACATGTTTTTCTCTATCTGATTGTGCCTCGTCTGCCAGGTCTCTCTGTTCTGCTCTGTGATT